GAGAATGATTGTGGAGCTTTTTATAATTCACAAATAGCCGTAATAGACACATGTTTCAAGTTTATAAATAATGGTCACATAGACTAGAAGTTATAGAAGTGGGGCTAGAAAAAAATATGGGATTTGGCACTAATTACGTCAAATATGGTACATGTATTTGTATTACAGCGATTATTGGTAAGATTTTGACAGTTTGATAACAGCTTAAAAAACAGAAATTGTTTTGTAATAAATTCTTTTTTCTTAACTTGTTCACCGCTGAAATTTTATAATGAACTATTCCAACCTTTGAATTTGAAGAGTTCAAGTGTCTTCAGGGGTGAATGAGTTAACAAAATAATATATTAGATTTCATTTTCCAAGTTAAAAAAACTGAATTGAACCTTGCACCTAATTTCAAGAACTTTAACACCAGGTGTCAAGTATGATCAAGGAGAAACCACTCACTTCCTGTCACAGATAGAGTGATGCTCGTCCCGATTCCTGTGCCGATGCTGTTCGTTGCCTGACAGACGTACGTGCCACTGTCAGTACTGGCGACATTGTTGATCACTAGCGTCGGACTTGTAGTAGACCCACCCGAGTATTTCGATCCGTCAATAGCGATGGAGGAAGTAGTTCCGCCCGTTGACCTCTGCCAGACGACGGATGTAATCGCTGGATTGGCCGACACGGAACACTGGAGTGTTACCACAGAGTTGGTGTTTACAGAGTATGTGGTTTGACCGATGGTGACCACAGGAAGATCTGGATATGATAAATATTTAACATGTAACGTACACATGGAAGAATCAAGAAGGCTTTCGGTGGCTCCAGATTTTCTTTAAAAGTAATTTTCAAATCTAATCACTTTGAAACTCTCCAAACATACCATTCATGCAATTATTCGATGTGCCTGAAAATACTGCATACTGGGAAACTTCACCCAGTCAAACTTTCACCCTTTACTGGTTGAATTAATTTCGCCCTTGACATGCTATTATAATGTATAGTATGTTGTGAACTGTTTTTCAATGTGGTGGTCTAATATACCTTCTCATAACCAAGGGCGAAAATGGCAAAAAATAAAAATGTGGTAAAAATTTCCTGTTTTTCAGCATTGTATTGACATAAACTTTAAATTTGCCTTTATTCACACATTAAATTCCAAAATTCCATGCACAGGTTGTGCAAAACATCAAAGTTTATAGATCAACAATGATTCATAATTATACCAGGGGTGATAACTCCAACTTACTTCCTGTGACAGTCAGTGAGATCTGTGAACTTTGACCTGTCCCCACACTATTGATGGCGAAACAAGTATATGTTCCGCTATCTCCGGGATTAGCAGTTATCACTGTGAGCGAGGGGTTCGAGGTAGTGGCTCCGCTGAAGTTTACGCCGTCAACAGTGACGCCAGCCGTGGCGCCATTCTGTATACGTTGCCAGTAGACAGATGTAATCGTGGGATTCGCTGACACGGAGCATTGGAGCGTGACGGAGTTTCCAGTGGTGATGGAGTAAGAACTCTGGGTTACCGTAAGGGACGGCACACCTACAACAACAACACGGTTTTGTTTACTTGTGCATGTAGTTCTCTTCAACAAAATAAATTAAAAAAATATTCAACATCAACCCAACAAAAAAAATGTACAATTTAACACAAATTCCCAGTATATGTGCGTTTCTTTCATCAAGTGTCACCACAGAATTATAATTACTTACGCTATGATAATAAATTGACAATTTTAACAATTCTAGATTACGTCCCTTTCTCTGGTAATTCTGTAGTATAAGTGATGCTACTTGAAAAAAACGGAAACAACTGTTATAATACTGCATACTGGGAAATATTTGCCCTTCAATGGTAAAATCCATTTTCGCCTTCACATTTAATTACTATTTATATACTGTAAATATACTATTTGCTGTAATGATGAATTTGCCCTCATTATGGAGGGCGCAAAAGGCAAAAATTAAACTGACATGAACATTTCTCGGCATACAGTTCATCAACTTAAAATCATCAGCTAGCAGCAGTAGTTTTTTTTATGGTAAAACTTTTTTATGTAATTTCTGATAAAAATATAAAATGAACATTTATAGCAACAAATATCTGATGCAACTTCAACTCCATATGGACATCCTGTATAAAACAAATTTTGTAGAACCACTATAAAAATATTTAGTAGATTTTCACAAAATGAGAAAAGTAATATTTCCGGCACACTTACTTCCTGACACTGTGAGAGTCACGACACTGCTCTGACCAGTGCCCACGCTGTTGGACGCCTTACAGAGGTAGGAACCAGCGTCGTCACTGTTAGCACTCAGAACGGTCAGCGTCGGCGAAGAGGTGGTGGACCCGCTGTACGCTCCGGTACCCATGGTCAGGGTCGTGTAAACGTTATTTAAGAGCTTCTGCCAGAAGACGTTAGTAACAGCTGGGTTCGCTGATACGGAACATTGAAGCACAGCATTGTTTCCCGTGGTAACGGTGTAGGAGGTAGGAGAGGCTATCACGGTAGGTACACCTGTGGATTTCAAATTAAAAAGTTGCCTGATTATGGTCAGTGGTATCTATGGTCAGATTTCAAATTTTTGACAACAACAAAATTGTCTTGGTTAAGAATAGCTGTTCTTCATATGTGTGTACTATGTGTAATGTGTTAAGGTAAAATCACAATGTCAGCCATTAAGCTGAGACACTCAACTTCAAATATAAAACAAGCCATTTGGATTGATATGTCTTGCCTTAATGCCCCACTTTGACCATGAATGCACATATCAGAGAAACTAGCTTAAACAACAAAAACTTAATGTTGATGGAAATGCTGACAAAGTCAATGGACTATGAAAGGTAGGCCGCATCCAGCATTTGATGCATGGGTTGAGATGTACTACCTAAGATGCATCTATGATCCAAGTTTGGTTGGTGTAGCACTTATACTTTCAGAGAAACTAACTTAAACACAATACAAATATGTTGACGTCGCCATTGCCAAAAAAGCAACATCTAAGTATCACTTCCACTTTGTGGCGTCTAGACAAAAACGAATAATAATATCAGCCATGACCACACATAACCAAAACATTAAAAATTTGAAATCTCCTTTCAATGTGTTTGGTATATCTCTTTGGTAATAATGAGTGCCTAATTTCCATGTGAAGAGATTAATTTATTATAGTTAAATTTGACGGTTCTTAAAAAGTTCGGGAAAAGGGTGATCCATATCTAAACAGAAGTTAAGGGGAGATTACTGCACCTAGGAAAACCACAGTACAGTGGGACAAGGATTCTGAAGTTTGTAACATTAAACTTACTTCCTGTGACAGAGAGTGTAGTGGAACCACTCTGTCCCGTACCGACAGAGTTAACGGCAAAACAAGTGTACGATCCGGAGTCACTTGCATCAGCTGTGATCACAGTCAGGGAAGGGGAGCTAACTGTTGCCCCTGAAAAGTTTACGTTGTCGATAGTGATGGATTGCACCCCTGAACCAACATTTCGCTGCCAGAACACAGACGTATGCGAGGGGGTCGCAGATACGGAACAAGATAGGGTGATGGATGTTCCCGTGGTAACACTGTACGACGATTGGGAAATAGCAACACTGGGCACATCTGAAAGTTGAAAATAAAATATTATTTCAAAGTTTAACTTTAGATCTTTTCTTTAAATACCAATTTACGGAGGCTATTACTGAGCAATTTAAGGTTTTATGCTACTTTTCACAATTTATACCTGGGGATGTTTTTTTTGCGTAAATATAGCACTCATTCCCAGTCATTGCAGGGTAACCCAGGCAGTCGTAATGATGATGTGGGTTTTGATTAAATATGACTCATTCTCAGCCACTGACAAGGAGTGAAGGAGAGCCTGTCCTTTCACTAATTCAATAAACACCATATTCTCTTTGAGACATTGACTAGGAGTGGAGGGGCAGTCCTAAAACTAATTGTGGGTTTTTATGTGGCTTAAATATGGTATTCACTTCCCGATATCAAAGAAAGGGATAACCAGGGTTGTCCTAATATTGACAGTTGTTTTTTCCTACAGAATGGTGTCGCTTCCTATTATATTGATGTCAAGGAATGGTAGGGGCATGCAGGCTTATTAGTGACAATAGGAGTTTTGCTTTAATACTTTAAGCCTAGAGGGCCATTACACATTCTCACTGATGTTACAGGACCACACAATGGTACCTGTGGATATTTCAAGTGGAGCTGAAAAGATTTGGGTGGGCTTATCACCAGGCATTGGCTTATTGCTGGATAAATATAGCAAAGTTGCCAACTCTCCCTATTAAGGAGGGAGACTACCAATTTTGGACCCTTAAATTGAGAATTTTTAACCAGTGAATTTGCTGAACTATTCCTATTTTCTAAGATCTGATGATTTCCTCTGACAGAACAGCTCAAACGATGCCATGTCAAAGTTTCATTTTTTCCCTATAGTGTATATTATAACACACATTTTATTTATGCTTTTAATTCTGAGCAATCATAATCTCCAGCATGGAAATTTCAAAAAAGTATGTTAATGAGGTATTCCAACATGGCAACAATAATTAGAAATATAAATAAATATTTTCATAATAGTATTTGGGAAGTATTCGAAATTAAAGAAACAGTCATTTCAAAGTTCATTTAAAGGTTATGAATTTTGATGCATTTGGGGGCCAAAACAGGCCCAAACCATAAACAGTCCTTTGTTATCTATTCCGTCTTTGCGTATTGCAGAGTTATCTTCTCTTGTAAGCAGGTATTGATTGTTACGTCATTTGTTTGTGAGAGTAATCATCAATTTTTGAGAAGACGACGTAATTTTCTCACACAAATCAATGACGTAACAATCGATACCTGCTCACAAGAGAAGATAACACTGCAATATGCAAAGACATAATAGTCAAATCCTTAAATGTATTAAATCTTTGGTTAGGTCAAAATAAAATTTCAGTTAATGTATATAAATGGATTGGTATAACTATTATATACCGGAGATAAAATCAGTATGACTCATAGGAACTGATAGATTAACATATTTATTGGCATTGACTTAATTTAAAACCATTCAGAGCACTTAATTTTATTAAATATTGAACATAAATAAAATAAGTTTCATATTGTATGACAATTATTTTATAATTTAAGGCATAGATAAAGGTAAAAACAACATGATAGTTAAAAACAAGTGTTATAAAACATTGACCAACTAGGAGTGGACAACGAGACTTACTTCCTGAGACTGTTAGCGTAGTAGTGCCACTCTGTCCTGTCCCGACCGAGTTGGTGGCGAAACATGTGTACGAACCGGAATCACTAGAGTCGGCTGATATCACCGTCAGAGAAGGGGAGCTAACTGTTGCGCCAGAGAAGTTCACGTTGTCAATTGTGACCGATTGTGACCCTGAGCCGATGTTTCTCTGCCAGTACACTGTGGTGTGTGTGGGACTCGCGGATACAGAACAAGTCAACGTAACAGTTGTTCCCGTGGAAACGCTGTAGAAAGACTGGGCTATGGACACTGTCGGCACATCTGTAATTTAGAATTGCAATACACTTCTTTTAACATATCTACTTTGACTAAAACTTAATCTGTCAAACAAGAATTACAGATACTATATAAATATATAACTCCTCCTATAGATTTTGTTTATATGAAACAATTAAATAAATAAATAGATTTTAAGAACATATTTGACAAACTTGTGTTATCTTTTTCATAACTGTACGTTTTAAGCATTTATTACAAAACTTTTCTTCCTACTGACTGTGATTGTAAATGAATATATGCATGCTCAATGAAGCTCTGCAGGTAAGCTACAAATGCTAACACTCTATCAAAGATTTCCTTTATAGACAGATTCCTGAATTCGCAAAGATGGCAAAGATGAATTGAGCTGTTATATGACACCCTGTAATCCCTGTTGCTGTTCTATCCTCGGACTATAGTTTGACTTACTTCCACTGACAGAGAGTGTTGTCGTACTCTGCCCAGTCCCGACGGAGTTCGAGGCAAAGCACGTGTATGAACCGGCATCTCCGCTGCTTGCTGTGATCACCGTTAGGGAAGGGGAGCTAACTGTTGCACCAGAGAAGTTTACGTTATCCACAGAGACTGACTGCGTTCCTGAACCAACATTTCTCTGCCAGAATACTGAGGTTACGGAAGGGTTACCGGACACAGAACAACCCAGCGTAATTGACGACCCGGAATTGATGCTATAGGAAGACTGGACTACGGAAACAGCTGGCACACCTACATAAACATATGATTTACATATACAGCAAAACCTCAATATAATGCCCTTTTATATACATTTGTAGTGCCACTTTTCATATAGTGCCCCTTATTATATAATATCTGTATCTATTCAGTGAAGTCTCAGGAAGATTTTGATTCTGTATCTAAAATTTCACTTATCTGGGAAAAAACATCCATTGTTTGAGCTTGTTACACTGTTTTCTTTAAGAATGGTGAAAGTGATTAAATAACTGTACTTACTTCCTGAAACAGACAGGGTGATGGCGCTGCTTTGACCAGTTCCGATAGCATTGGTGGCAAAACATCTGTATGTTCCGGAGTCACCACTGTCAGCCGAGATCACGGTCAGGGAAGGGGAGCTAACTGTGGCACCGGAGAAATTTGTGTTATCGATGGAAATTGACTGTGTTCCTGAACCAACGATTCGCTGCCAGAACACAGACGTATGTCCGGGATTTGAGGATACGGAACATGACAGGGTGATAGACGTTCCCGAGGTGATGCTGTAGGCTGATTGTGAGATGCTCACGGACGGTACATCTGTTGATCAAATCAGAATAACATGTCAATCTTGCACAAAAAGTTGTATTAATTTTTATTTATATCAATCTTGAAAAGTTATGGAATTCAATTCAATGACCCACAGCATCAATTTAAGTGCATCAAGGTATTAAAATACGTAATATAAAACTATGTATATTAACAACGTATAAAATCTATATTGCCTATACAAATCCTATATTATCTGTATATAACCTGTATTCCTATATCACTTGTATAAAACCTACATCACCTGTATAAAACGTTTATTACCTGTTTAAAACCGTATAAAACATATATCACTTGTATAAAACCTATATTACCTGTATAAAACCTTCATAATTTAAAGCATGATACTTACTTCCTGTGACGGAGAGTGTGATAGTTCCGCTCTGTCCAGTGCCGACAGAGTTCACAGCATAACAGGTGTATGTACCGGCATCGTTAGTGTCAGCTGTTATCACTGTCAAGGAAGGGGAGCTAACTGTTGCGCCAGAGAAGTTTACATTGTCGATGGAGACTGACTGCGTTCCTGAACCAACATTTCTCTGCCAGAATACAGAGGTTACGGAAGGGTTACCGGACACAGAACAACCCAGCGTAACGGACGACCCGGAATTGATGCTATAGGAAGACTGGACTACGGAAACAGCTGGCGTACCTACATAAACATATGATTTACATATACAGCAAAATCTACATATAATGCCCCCTTATATAATGCCCCTTTATATAGTGCCCCTTTTTATATAATGGCCCTTTATATAGATTTTCACACATGGAGACTTATGTAATGTATCTAGCACAGGTTCAGGTGGCAGAAATTAAAACTAAGAGGAGTATGTAAGTCTAGAAAATTCCTAAATATAGATTTATAAACTTTATTTTATAAATAAACATAAATTTTACAGCAATTATGAAACAAGTGATTTCAACTTATATCAGTCATTCTTGTTGGCAAGGATGTTAGTGTGCGGGGTCTTAATGTTTGAGGAAACCAGATTACTCGGTGGTGAAAACCAACGTGGTCGAGCAGGTAACCCATACCTTTTTATATCAGATTGTGGAATTGAACCAAAGTTGTCTTAGTGAAATGCAAGTGTGTTATCCACTAGCTGTACGTGCCACTTGAAAAATTCCTTTTCCATCATTCAGAAAAATCCGTTCTTCTTANGTAGTTTTCTTTAAGAATGGTGAAAGTGATTAAATAACTGTACTTACTTCCTGAAACAGACAGGGTGATGGCGCTGCTTTGACCAGTCCCAATAGCATTCACGGCAAAACATCTGTATGTTCCGGAGTCACCACTGTCAGCAGAAATCACGTTAAGGGAAGGGGAGCTAACTGTTGCACCGGAGAAATTTGTGTTATCGATGGAAATTGACTGTGTTCCTGAACCAACGATTCGCTGCCAGAACACAGACGTATGTCCGGGATTTGAGGATACGGAACATGACAGGGTTATAGACGTTCCCGAGGTGACGCTGTAGAATGATTGTGAGATGCTCACGGACGGTACATCTGTTGATTAAATCAGAATAACATGTCAATCTTGCACAAAAAATTCTATTAATTTTTATTTATTCAATCTTGAAATGATATGGAGTTCAATTCAATGACCCACAGCAAAATATTTCCATTTGGTCAATTTAAGTGCATCAAGGTATTAAAATATGTAATATAAAACTATGTATTAATTAACAATGTATGAAACCTATATTACCTGTATAAAATCTATATTGCCTGTACAAAACCAATATTATCCAGATATAACCTTTATTCCTGTATAAAACCTATACTACCTGTTTAAAACTTTACTACCTGTTTAAAACCTATACTACCGGTATAAAAACTATACTACCGGTATAAAAACTATACTACCGGTATAAAAACTATACTACCTGTATAAAACCTATATTACCTGTATAAAACCTACATCACCTGTATAAAACATATATCACCTGTATAAAACCTATATTACTTGTATAAAACCTATATCACCTGTATAAAACCTATATCACCTGTAAAAAAACTATATTAACTGTATTAAACACATATCACCTGTATAAAACATATATCACCTGTATAAAACCTACATCACCTGTATAAAACCTATATCACCTGTAAAAAAACTATATTAACTGTATGAAACACATATCACCTGTATAAAACCCACATAATTTAAAGCATGATACTTACTTCCTGTGACGGAGAGTGTGATAGTTCCGCTCTGTCCAGTGCCGACAGAGTTCACAGCATAACAGGTGTATGTACCGGCATCGTTAGTGTCAGCTGTGATCACTGTCAAGGAAGGGGAGCTTACTGTTGCGCCAGAGAAGTTTACGTTGTCGATGGAGACTGACTGTGTTCCTGAACCAACATTTCTCTGCCAGTATACAGATGTATGTCCTGGGTTCGCAGATACAGAACAAGACAGGGTGATGGACGTTCCCGTGCTTACACTGTACGATGACTGTGATATGGATATGGCTGGTAGATCTGAAAAATAGCGAAAATAATTTACATTAATGTTGATGTTTACATTTTATTAAACAATGGGTATATATCTAAAAACAGCTACAAATCTACATAACATTGTAATGTTTCAATATTATGATTTATATTAATGATCAGTGTATTTGAATATATTGAAAATCTACATGATTGCAATGTTGCATTATATTGTTGAACAGTTGATATAACTAAAATTAGTGGAAAGCCTTCATAATTGTAATTTTTCAGTATTGTAAAATGATTGATATATTTGAAAATATTGAAAAGTCAACAGGATTGTGATGTTTCGATATTGTTGAACGGTCGGTGCATCCAAAAGATATTGAAAAGTCGATAGGATTGTGATGTTTCGTTATTGTTGAACGGTCGGTGCATCCAAAAAATATTGAAAAGCCTACATGAGCACATGTACACTACATTGGAAAATGTTTAAGCAAATGTATCCACTGATAAAGGATAGTGTTCCCTTTAACTTTTCAGTATTTTATATTCCCTTTAACATCAAAATGCGTGTATGGTAATATGGCATCCAGGCAGGTAATTTGCACCCAGATCGCCTGTATAAATCTCATATCACCAGTAAAAATCTCATATCACCTGTATAAATCTCTTATCACCAGTAAAAATCTCATATCTCGTGTATAAATCTCATATCACCTGTATAAATCTCATATCACCTGTATAAATCTTATATCACCAGTAAAAATCTCATATCACCTGTATAAATCTCATATCACCAGTATAAATCTCATATCACCTGTATAAATCTCATATCACCTGTATAAATCTCATATCACCTGTATAAATCTCATATCACCAGTATAAATCTCATATCACCTGTATAAATCTCATATCACCAGTATAAATCTCATATCACCTGTATAAATCTCATATCACCTGTATAAATCTCATATCACCAGTATAAATCTCATATCACCAGTATAAATCTCATATCACCTGTATAAATCTCATATCACCAGTAAATCTCATATCACCTGTATAAATCTCATATCACCTGTATAAATCTCATATCACCAGTAAAAATCTCATATCACCTGTATAAATCACATATCACCAGTACAAATCTTGTATCACCTGTATAAATCTCATATCACCAGTATAAATCTCATATCACCTGTATAAATCTCATATCACCAGTATAAATCTCATATCACCTGTATAAATTGTATATGACTATAACATATCATTCTTACTTCCTGAGACGGTGAGCGTGGTAAAACCACTCTGTCCAGTTCCGACAGAGTTGGTCGCAAAACATCTGTAGGAGCCAGAATCAGAGCTGCTGGCAGAGATCACGGTCAGAGAAGGGGAGCTAACTGTTGAACCGGAGAAGTTTATATTGTCAATGGTGATTGTCTGGGTTCCTGAACCAATATTTCTCTGCCAATATACAGTGGAATAAACTGGGTTCGCGGATATGGAACAAGCCAGTGTAACCGTCGTCCCGGAGCTGACACTGTAGGAGGTCTGTGATACGGACACTGTCGGTACACCTGAAAATAATTTTTAAATTTAATAAAGTAACAAAATACATATGAGAGGTGCGCGATGGGTTTTAGTGCCCATTGATGCAAGATCTTCATTAAGTCCTATGTAAATTGGATGTTTTCTCTTCTTTACTCTGATCTGCTGGATTGGAGACAAAAATATGTAAACAATGCTTGCTAACTTTCGGAAGTTTCCATTGGGGGGGATGCTCATGTTCAGAATTAAGAACATGAACAAAGTGTGTGTATATATACCCCCTAGGGACAAAATAACCCCTTTAAATGGATCTTAGATTACAGGAATCTTTTAGCAAATTCACTGGTTGAAAATGTCAAATTTATGGGTCCAAAATCGGGAAACTCCCTCCTAGGAAGGCAGCGTAGGCATGTATGACAGTACTTTGCAGCAACCTCTGATCAAAACTTTAATTTATACCGCAGTTCATGTATAGTAGACATTGTCCTTTCAAAGGTTCAGAGATCTGACGTAATTAACTGGAGTATTTAAGTGTGTAAGAAACGGTCAAGAGAGATTTCTGATATTTTGCAGCCAATTTTTATCTTCAAATTAAGCAGCCTGAAGCTGTTTTTATTAAACATTGTTTATCAATTAATTTGAAGCAAATAATATATTTTCACTAATCGTATTCATATTACCTGGATGGAAAAACACAAGGGTAAGTGACCCCGGGGAATCAAACCACAACCCTCTTGGTCACTGTACCACCCCCAAGCACCCACCCATCTCTAAGTCTATATAGCTTCGTGATCCAAGGGGACATAACTCCAGATAAAATAACATTTCGATAATAAAAGGCAACTTTTGTCTGCGATACTTACTACCAGTCACGGTGAATGTTGTCTGGGCACTTTGACCTGTGCCCACGCTATTCGTGGCGAAACATCTGTAGAGTCCGTTATCTGAAGAAGCTGCGCTGTAAATCACGAGGGATGGAGAGCTGGTCGTCGACCCGCCATATTTAGAGTTGTCAATGGTGATGGTGCTTGTGACTCCATTTATATTGCGTTGCCAGAAAACGTTGGTTACTGCGGGGGATCCGGACACGGAACAGATGAGTGTGACGGTGCTGCCGGAGGTTGTGGTGTAGCTTGATTGGCTTATACTGACGGAAGGCACATCTGGAAAATTGATATGAAAGGTTTCGCTGTAGCATTGAAAATTGTCTCAAGTTTGGGGCGACAAAAGGGGCAATGGAAATTTATAATGACAGTCAGATCAATGATTGGTGATTTCCATGTCAAAATGGGAGAAACAAGGAATGACTGTTTTATGCTGTTTTGATAACTAAACTAGTTAAATTATTAATAGATCAAGGCCCTCATTAGTGAAACCTACTCTTGTGCTGAAGCATGGATTCTGTGCCCAAACCTACTTACTTGTCACACGCTCAAAAACTTAAGTTTAAACAATTCGTAAATAGTATTCAGGCCGAAGTCTCTCCAATATCTTCCAGATCATTGACAAAATGTAAATTTTGAATAATTTATTACAGGTACTGGAATAAGAAATTTTGCCTTGAGCACGAAATCTGAGTTTGAGCATGAGGACAGTTTCATAAATACAGGCCCTGGATTACTTACTTCCGGAAACAGACACTGTGATGGCAGCACTCTGACTGGTGCCGAGGCTGTTCGTGGCCTTACACAAGTAAGACCCGGAGTCACCAGAATTCGTGTTGTAGATTAAGAGGTTGGGGTTACTGGTCGTCGACCCGCCATAGTTCGTCCCGTCAATTGATAATGTTGTATAGACATTGTTGGTGTTCAATTTTTGCCAAAATACGGAAGTAACCGCTGGACTACCAGATACGGAACATGACAGTTCGATGGTTGATCCGGTAGATGAGGAATACGCTGTAGTGGCAGCGGTCACAGTGGGAACACCTGAAATTTTACACAGTTGTATGATCAATATAACTTCCTGTCCTAGTCTTATAGTTCTGAAAATTGCATTAATTAATATAAAATCAGAAAAAGTTTTTTGATTTGTTTCAAAAGCAATTTCGGTAATTAGCATCTAAAATAAATCAAAATTAATACATTAGATTTGGCCTAGGAATATAAATCTTCTACAATGTGAACTCCAACGATCAGCATCCCCTGGAATCTCATAGTTTCAACATGTACATGCACAAAAATAAATATTCAACAGAAAAAAATATAAGACATTTTTTTGCTTTGGGAAAGTTAGTGTCAAACAAGGTCAAGGACATGTTACAGAGGTCAAGAAAAGGTAACGAGGTCAACAAAGGTCACGGAGAGACAAAGAATGTGAAGGTCAAGGTTACTGATATCATAGAAAGACGACAAAGCCCATTTGTAGGAAACATGAGCCTATTATTATAAATGCAGTTTGATATTTTTGGTTAATGTATTTTAGGCATGGAAAGTGCTTATATTCTTGTGTGATAATCACTATTCCATACCCTTAAAACAAAAGATTTCATTTTAAACTATTCAAGAAAATTTACCATAGATTTTAATTTTCCTTTAAAACGTATATTATACAATAGAAACTACAAAATGCAGTTTGTCCATTGCATCATACAATTTGGCTATAGAGTTCAAACTAAGGTTTAGGTAGTACCCCTACTCCCACATAGAAAAATTAGAAAAGGGAAAGAAAAAACATCTTGCTGAATTTTTAAAAACCAAATTGTAACTGCAAAATTACCTAAGGTACCAGATATGTGAAAGTTTCATAAATTTCTATCAAACCTGTAGTAGTACTTTAAACGAAATACATAAGCAGACGTCAGAAAAGGGGCTGAACTCGAAACAAAATTGTCAAAATCAAAAATAAAATTGCAGGCAGACTTTAAAGCAATGATTATCAAATACCAAGTTTCATAAAAAAATGTTTGAGAAGAAATACATCAGTTGTGCATTTGTCAAACTTCTGTCCATAGGTGGTTGAAAGAAAGGCATCCTGATGCCAGTATATCCCCTGCCTGTTTAACCATAAAGAGTATACATTTTTAAGTAATTGTTGTCCTAAAGAAGATAAATATCTCACAGAAAATTGACATCAATACATAGTGTCATATATATTATACTGTATCATTTGACAAGGGGGATTTATAACTGATTTGTCTATCCAGGTAAAACAACCATACATAGTGTTGTATATGTAATACTGTACATCATTTGACAAGGGGGATTTATAATTGATTTGTTTATCCAGGTAAAACAACCATACATAGTGTTGTATATATTATACTGTATCATTTGACATGGGGGATTTATAACTGATTTGTCTATCCAGGTAAAACCACTGAGTCAGTCCATTAAAATACCCATCAGTATGAGTTAATATTCATGTCCAGTTTAAATAAGTAAATAAGTAAATTTATATAATAAAGAATGGAACTATTCAGAATTTTGCATTAAATTCAACATTTTTTTATTGAAAGCAAATAATGTGAATATTGTAATACTTACTGTCACTTCTGTATACTTAAAAAATCCCCAATTACCCTTCAAGTGTATCCGAACATAAAATTATGTTTATCATGTAAACTGTTCCTTTGGAGGGACCCCTACAATCTACTTATATATGCAGCTGACACACCCCTTCCACTTGAATAATGAAACACCGGAGCACACAGTGTTTAAGTGGGGAAAGAGAAGGAAAATGGGAATAGAAAATCATGAATATTAATATCAAATCATGAATATTGATGTTATTTCATGAATATTCATATTAGTTGATGAATATTCATGTTTCTGCATGAATATTCATATCACATCATGAATATCATATAACATCATAAATATTCATGTTATAACCTGTAGATTTCTTTTCAGTAGTTATTAAATGTACCATTACTTGGGTATGCAAATTTGTTTTACTGTAGTGGAGACCCCAACATCCTGCCGTAACTCTGCGAAAAGAATATGACGATGGCAGAAATTCCCATTAAGTCTAACTTAAAATGGTTCGAATTATGAAAAGGTCTTTTTACACAACCAATAACATTTTCTATGTGACCTTTCGATGACTAGTACGATATGTATACTGTCACCTTTACAGACAAATGACCAGTGAAGCGTTTGCACACAAAGGTGTAAAATGTGTACGAGTTGTCCACAAAATCAATGTTGATTTGGCTACGATGTAAGCATATGTACAATAGTTGTTATATATGTACCAAAATGACTCGATTCAGCTATGCTTTGTAAAATGTGTATTGGTTGTGTAAACAGAACTTTTCATAATCCATACTTACATACCTGAAGAAAATGTTTAGAAATATTAAAATGGTACGAGATATCTGCTCAAGAAATTGAAGGGGAACATTCTCTGAGATACATCAGCAACAATTCTTAATAATTTGGCAAATCTATTGTTAGATTGAGATACACCAAAAGGACCCACAAGGAAAACAGTTCATCACACACAGATTGCTGTAATGATAAATTCGCCCTCCAATACAAAGGGCGGAAAAGCCGAAAAAGACAAAAATTAAACTGCAGCGAAAATTACCCAGTATACAGTTAACAGGGGATGGCTGAGGAAAAAGTAACCATCAAGAAATAATTTCAATATAATAAGGTTAATTTGAATGAAAGTGGAAGCGATGTGTCGGCTGCGCAAAGGTGGCATCTGCCGAATTCGAAGTGACAGCTGCGTAAGAGAGATACTTGCTACCAATAACAGACAAAGAGATGGTGCCACTCTCGCTGATGCCAATACTGTTGACTGCGTAACAGACATAGTTCCCCTCATCTCCGCTGTCGACATCGTGGACAACCAGTGATGGAGAACTAATGGTTCCCCCCTCGTATTTGTCTCCGTCGACGTCCAGGGTGATTGTCACGTTGTTTGACATTGTGCGTTTCCAGTAGATGGTTGTGATTTCCCAACCGGCGCTTGCTGTAGCAGAGGCTTGGAGTAACGCTGTGCCTCCCAGCGTGACATCGTAGGCAGAACTGTTAATCGACACGGAGGGGATGCCTACAACACAGAAGAGTCACGCAAAAGTTTTGAATATTTTTTTTTTAAATATTCAATAATATTCACAGAGTAGTTTCTATGGCGAGCAGATGCCTTAAAGCAAACATTTTTTATCATGAAATTTTGTCATTAACCTCAAATTAAAATAGAATCTAACTTTAATAGGAGAAAGCAATAAATCAGAACAAGATTTCCAAAATCTTTCTATGTAAAATGATAATAAAAGAATTTTGAATTCATGAAATTTCATTGAAATTGAAAATTAATAAAAATATATAGGTATTAACCCCTGAAAACTCTTCACTTAGAAATCAATTATTCTGCCAAGATTCCTGGTCAGTAAAGTTGAGAATAAATTGTCCTTCTATATATATTCTAGTCAGATCAATAACAAATCTTCTTTTAGAGGTTTTACTTAGTTTCTCTGTTCCACTACACTGTTTTTTTTCCTGTACACAGTTACCTCCCCTTAACCTTCGTTTAGCAGTAACTGTTGACCAGGTATTGCCTTCAGTTACAGCAATAGTATAACAATCAGAACACTGTTGAATATTGATTTGTTTATTTCATATTATTATTTTTATAAAGTCCTGCAAGGTATGGTTTCCTTTTCAGAAATGTTTTATCAAATCTATTATAAGTCATGCCAGAAAAAAAAAAGTTTCAAACACGTCGTTTCAGCTTCTGGCAGTGGCACAGGAAAACTTAAGCGTTAAGTACGACATAAGTTTTTATTTTCAAATCATGCTTATAAGCAAACAAAATTCATAACAGTTAATGCTTCTTATGTAAAAACCTGTACTTACTTCCCCTGACGGTGAGGTCCATGACGCCACTTTCGCCAGTGCCCAGGCTGTTGGTGCTGAGACAGACGTAACTGCCCGCATCGATACTGTCCACGTTGTAGATGACAAGGGAAGGGGAACTGACCAGACTGCCTCCGTAGTTAATTCCATCAACGGTGATGTTTTGTCGGCTACCATTTGTAAATACCCGTTGCCAGGTAACAGAATTAATGGCCGGGCTAGCGGACACATTGATCATAAGCGTGACTGTGGTTCCTGAACTAACGTTGTAAGCTGATTGGCTGATAGACACAGAGGGTGCTAAAAGATGTGACACACACACAGGGAGAGAAAAGAAGGCAGAAAAGAAATAACATGTGGTGCTCAAAAGAAGTGGACAGTATCTGACCTCAAATAGTCTATGATTTGTATCCGAGTTATCTCCCTTTAGAGTATTTTGCTGCTCGATTTACACATTGTTACTGTGATTTGTATCCGAGTTATCTCCCTTAAGGGTATTTGCTGCTTTACACATTGTACCTGTGATTCGTATCAGAGTTATCCCCCTTAAGATTAATTGCAGCTTCACAAATTGTACCTTTGATTTCATTGTATCAGTTATCTCCCTTAACTCATTCACCCCTGATATTTCATAATGAACTATTCCAACCTTTGAACTGGAAGAGTTCAAATGTGTCGTCAGGGTTGATTGAGTTAAGGGTATTGGCTGCATTACACATTATATCTGCGATTTGTGTCAGAGTTATCTACTTTCTTAAGGGTATTAGCTACATTGCAAATTATACCATCTGTTTCTGAGTTATCTCCCCTAAGATGTTTACTTGTGATTTATGTCAGAGTTAAAAGAAAGAAGTTCTAATACCATTTTTTTTTACAGAAATGACTATTTTCGTGTCAAATACTGTCCAGTGCATATGTTAAGTGAGATATTTTTTGAGAAGGGAAAAAGAAAAAAGAAAGCAAAATAGCAAAGAAGCAAAAAAGCAAAACTATGCATTTCTGTTCAAATTGTCTTCATGAGCTTCAAGCAATGACACACAAAAAAAAAGTATATGTAATTATTAATAAAATCATCTGGCCCTTCTGAGAGTCACAAAACCTTTTAACTTTAAGAATGCTTTCAACTCTCAAATATCAAATATCTTACAGGCTATATTACCTGAAATGTTCATTTGAACAGTGATGGGAGAAATCTCACTAAAACCATGGAACATTAAATATGATTTTGTTCATAGCTGAGAACGTTCTCTGAGTTAAAAAGTTTTGTGATAATAGAGCTTAAGCATATAATATTAACACCAACACTGTGAATTCATTATACATACAGTTACAAAAAACCCATGTGCATGAAAGTCCGCTTTATAACAGGGTTTTAGATATCTGTTTTTGTAAAAGCATCAATTCTATATAAATTTGGTGAACAAAATATCATTACTGATATTGTTTTCGATAAAATTGCTAAAAGTCTGCTTGAATATATGTAAAAGGCTCTGTTTATTAAGTCAACACATGCGCTGTATATATAAAGGCTAAATAAAACATGTTTGACAAAAGTCGACTCAACTGTAGTGATCTATATACGGGTATCAACTAATTATGTCTGTTATAGACAGGTATCCATGGTAGACAGAGTCTGTCACAGACAGGTGTCCACTTTAGAAAAGTATCCACTATAGACAGGTGTCTGTCATAGACAAGTGTTCATTACTAAGACAGGTGTCTATTACAGACAGATGTTTGTTAGACATGTGTCCACTATAGAAAACTATCCTGACTATAGACAGGTACGTGTCTGTCATAGACAGGTGTTCATTATTAAGACATGTGTCTATTATAGACAGGTATCAGCCTTAGACAGGTATCTATTATAGACATGTGTTTGTTACAGATATGTGACCACTATAGACAGGTATGTGTCTTAGACAAGTCTCTATTATAGACAAGTCTCTATTATAGACAGGTATTTGTTACAGACAGGTCTATATATAAGCCGGACTACAAAAAGACTTACTTCCTCCGACACTGTCAATGAGGTCAGAGTTTCTGCACCGCCTCCCATGCTAAAAATAAGCCATATCTATATATAAGCCGGACTACAAAAAGTCTTACTCCCTCCGACACTGTCAATGAGGTCAGAGTTTCTGCACCGCCTCCCATGCTAAAAATAAGCCATATCTATAAATAAGCCGGACTACAAAAAGACTTACTTCCCCCGACACTGTCAATGAGGTCAGAGTTTCTGCACCGCCTCCCATGCTAAAAATAAGCCATATCTATAAATAAGCCGGACTACAAAAAGACTTACTTCCTCCGACACTTTCAATGAGGTCAGAGTTTCTGCACCGCCTGCCATGCCAAAAATAAGCCATATCTATAAATAAGCCGGACTACAAAAAGACTTACTTCCTCCTGACACGGTTAAAGTGATAGGATTTCCTGCACCCGTCGCTAGGGTATTGACAGCAAAACATCTGTATGATCCGGAGTCAGATGTCTGGGTGCTGCTGATTTGAAGCGACGGTGCAGATACAGTGGCACCCGAAAATCGTGAGGATGAAGTGCTGATGGCTGTCGTGGTTCCACCCTTTGTGACTTGCCAGTAGACGGAGGAAACAGACGTAGAACTGGAGTAGGAACACGACAGGGTTACAGTGGTACCTGTCGACACGCTGTACGATGTCTGTACCGTGGAAAGTATTGGGGCACCTGATAAAAGAAAGTTTGATTAATTTATTATGATCTTAAGAATGCATACTTAATGAGGTGGATTAAAACATTGGACACTTAAAACAAAAATTCGGTAAAGATATACATTTGATGAATGATTATACTCAAACCCAAAAGATGATATCAAATAATTGGAAAACAAGGTTTGGAAAATTTGTTCCACAAAATTTAAGCAAGCAACTCATTTGGGGAAAAAAATATAAACTTAACTGATTTTACAACAATTATGACACAAGTTAAAACAACTGATATTAATCGTTCTTGTTGGTCCGGATTTAAGCGTGTGGGGGTCTTAATGTGGGAGGAAACCAGAGTACCTGGAGAAAACCCACTTGGTCGGGCAGGTGACCCCATACCTGTTCCTGTGAGGAGGATTGAACCCCGCCCACCTTGATGAAAGGCAAGTGGGCTATCGACTGCACCACCAGACCACCCTTGTTTGAGGACATAACCAAGGTTCAAACAATCGAAAGTTTGGATAATCAGGGTTTGAATAATTGCCGTTTAACTGTACTGGGAATTACAAAAGTAGAAATTGACCTGCTATGGATGTTTTTGCTAATTGATCAAAAAAACAATTAGGGGAAAAAAGATATGGGACATAGAGGAAAACATATTCACAAATTCTAAACTGTGCCTTTCAAACGTATTACCAATGTCAAAATCTTGTATTCCGAAATCCTTACATACTAACAATGCTCTCTAGGGGGTGAAATGAACTCTTGTAAAAAAAAGATTTTCACGAGTAAAAGCAAAAGTTTCACAGGAACAAAATTCTCCTGGTACATAAAACAAAAAATCTGATTGGTCAATTTACCTGAGGAAACAATCAATGTTATTTGATTTCCAGTTGTGGTTCCGGCAGTGTTTTGACCGTTACACACATAGGTTGCTTGGTCATTCGAATCGATGTTGTAGATGACCAGCGAAGGTGCGCCAACAGATGACCCGCCGTAGTTTGAGTTGTCAATGGTGAGGGTGGTCGTCTGACCATTGAATGCTATCTTCTGCCAGAATATATTGGTCGCCCCGCTAACAGTACAGGCCAGTGTGACAGTGTTTCCCTGTACGATATTATAGCTTGTCTGTGAAACAGTTACTGTGGGTAAACCTAAAACAATAAAAAACAAAAAAAATATTACTTTTTTCATATTTCATAATTTTAGACAATGGAAATTGGTCTTACCTGGTAATAAAAAAAAATCTAAAAATTGTTGTCAAGACTTACAAAAAACCCCGTGCATATACAAACCTTTCTAGATATAAGGGAGTTATTTAAGGATGTATGCTACCTTATTTTTATATCAAGTCATACAAAGGAAATCTGCGTACACAAACTTTAATGCGCATTGGAACTTAAGGGTATATGCTACCTTCGTTAAACATAATCTCCTTTCAAAGAAATTTCCTGTATTATTAATCAAGGTAGATTAGAATTAATCAATAATGCAAATTTAATTGTTAAGGGAGATAACTCCAACAGCTAACATGTCAAGTTTGCTGGTGATAAAGATTACTTTTTACACAAAAAAATATATAATTTGGCTCTAACTGTAAGTCTGGGCTTTCCTTTAAACATCCTACTATGTTGTAAATAAGTGTCTTGTCTTAAATTCAAATAAAATATCATATTTTCTTAAAATTATTTTTGACAAATTATATATTATGTATGCACTAAACTACGTTTATAAATTATGTGATATAGTTTAACTATATTATATCAACTATACTACATTTAATTGGTTTATATTAACTATTTTTAGATATTGACACATGTACTGTAATATGATAAAAAAAACACACCATATAATGAAAAACCCTGGATGCTTAAAGTGAATTGGAAATCACTAGAATAACTACAAAACATTAATATGTTGTGAACACCCTGGACCCTGTTTCGAAAAAACCCTCCAAAAAGGTCTATAAACTTTGATAGAGGGATGTGGTCACACTCGGACCAGAATAAGGAAAGAAAAAGGAAGGGGTCATTTAATAAGACATCAGTTGATTTTTAGGTTAATTACGATAACCAATTTTAGAATTCATACAGTACATGTAAGTCACATAAGAATATATATATATATGCTATTTGGCGTACGACTGGGAAGCTTTCTGAACCCATTCAGACTAGGCCATGCATGGTACTGTATGCATGTTATATTGTGGCAAAATTGTTAATGTATTCATGAACATATGAGTGCAATTCCTTCTGCAAGAAATTGTTTGTGAATTACATCTTTCATTACCTCAATCTGAAATTGGTAATAGGGGTAAGCTTACAAATTATATTTCAGCCTACAATGCATACAATACCTCTATTATTTAGATTCTGAAATGTGGTATATGATGAAAATATAGAGATAAGGGATCCGCGTACCACTGCCAAAAACTGAAGCTATGAGTAGGAAGTGTTTTTGGAGACATGGTAGTCTAGTGGTAGGACGCCACTGTATACATGTGACCGAAGGGTTGCGGGTTCACGTCACGCCACCGCACTGTGTTGTATCTTTGAGCAAGATACTTCACTCTGCTTGTTCCAATCTACTCAGCTGTAAATGAGTACATGGTTGGGCAGTGCTAGAATTGTAGAATGCTAGCTGTGAGCGCCGAAATGGCAGCACCGGCTAAATGCTCACCAGGGAGTTGAGAAAGATATTGGCTGGTTGCAAAGGCCCTATTAAACCACAGGTAATAATTTGTGAACCGCTTTGAGACAACCTACAAACTAGGTTGTGATAAAGCGATATATAAGAACCTCAAATTATTATTATTATCATTATTATAAAATGTTTTTTAGCAATTAATGACAATAGCTTCAAAAATCATTTCAGAGAGGAATTCCATTCCTTGTGGAACCTTTACACGAAAAATATAATAAAGATGAAAAAAATTACAACTGTAGTCTAAGAGTAAAAAGGGCCAGACAGGTATTTGAACCCTCAACCTCTGATCATAGTACAATCCCTTAAATTATACCGCTTGCACCTGACCAGCAGTAGGACCAGCAGTCACATGACCGTATTGTCCAAACTTAAAACCAAAGGGAGGTTATTCCGTCTTTGCGTATTGCAGAGTTATCTTCTCTTGTGAGCAGGTATTGATTGTTACTTTATTGGTTTGTGTGAGAAAATTACGTCGTTTTCTCAAAAATGAATGAAGTTACTCTCACAAACAAATGACGTAACAATCAATACCTGCTCACAAGAGAAGATAACTCTGCAATACGCAGACGGAATACTGTATGTATGCCGAACTACAGTGGAACTCTCCAGTGTTTCGCCACCAGGAATGAAGGACAGGGATCTGTAATGTGTTACAAATCTATAACGTCTGTACTGTAAAACTCAGTAGTTTTGTCACCGTTTGTCCGCTATTGCAAGGCGATTGGTGACACAATGAGGAATCTCAATTAAAGGACAGTTGAGAAAATTTAGGGAAGAGGGATGATGGCATATACCAGGTACATTTGTATCTGCGGTAAGCGATATGGCAAATGAGACGCGGGGAGTTATATACATGTATTTATGTTTATCGCATACACCAGTAGCGAAGCTATATCATGCCGAGTATCATATACTGTATACCGGGAAATTTTAGCTGCAATTTACTTTTATTTTCGCCTTTTTAACTTCTCATTAATTATGAAGGGGAACTTGTCATGATAGTGACTATATTAGTAAACAGCATATTGCATAAACACATTGATTTAATGTGAAGTGTGATATTAACACTGGGTGAAAATTTATTTCATAGGTGAAGGGTGAAATTTCCCGGCATACAGTAATTATATAAATACATTTGTCAACAGTTTGATGTGACTGCATGGCCTTATTAATGTTAGATAAGCAGTTACGAGGGTCGCTCTTATACAGCCTAGAAAAGCTCTTTAATTGTAGATATTTTCTTTTTTGAGCGAAACTCAGCACATCATCTAGTTTGTAAAAAACTTTCCTTATCAGTTACAATCAAACCTCCAAGTCAATTCAATGCTCTTTTCAATGCCATATGTTGTTGTTGGGTGGGGGTGGGGGTGGGGGCTCAGGTCTCCAATGCTTAACTCATTCACCCCTGAAGACACATTTAAACTCTTCAAATTCAAAGGTTGGAATAGTTAATTATGAAATTTCAGGGGTGAAAATAACACATCCGAGTCATCATTTATCGTTAACTTGATATAAAAATTAGTTAAAACTTATTTCCAAACGGTATGAAGAATCATGAAAATTGACACTACATTTAGAACAGAACTATACTAATTCCTTGTTTATTACTTTTTACTAGAGTAAGTGATGAAAGTAATGGTGATCCGTGACCCAAAAAACCTGTATGATGAATACATACATGCCTTGATCAGATCCTTAACTATCATTCTGGGTAAGAAAAACTTACTACTGTAAAAGTCTTTCATTATCGCACGTGGTCATTAAATTTTGCAGATTTGCTAAAATAACTGATTTATAGAGAAACATTTTTCGCTGATCTTAAATCTTTGGTTGTAGCCATGGCACAAAAAATGGTGGTAAGGAAAAATTAATTTTCTATTTATTTATAGCGGTCTATATTCTTATACAGAAAATTGTTACAATGGAAACTACAAATATGAGAACCCCTCCAAATGTTTTTTGAATTACCTTAATAATGTACAATGTAGGAGAATTGGTAATTGTAGCTGGTTATTTGTGGAAATTTGGTTAGCATAATATATATTTGTAGCGGGGTGACCATTAGCTATAGCAAACTAGCAGACGGCAATATGACGTTATGGTATCAGGAAGGTATACATCATGTATAAGTCTATTTATAGCTAGCCTACGACTGTACGTTACATACTGATCAGAGAGAGGGAGATGACAGGGCAGCAGGGTGACCATTAGCTATAGCAAAATAGCAGACGGCAATGTGACATTATGGTATCAGGCAGGTATACAATCATGTATATGTCTATTTATAGCTAGCCTACGACTGTACGTTACATACTGATCAGAGAGAGGGAGATGGCAGGGCTGTCCGAAGTACCCCCACTATTTGTACCACGACAAACGTAACTGCCTATGTTCCCACTACTCATGCTCAGAATGGTCAGAGACGGGCTCGGAAGGCTCCCAAAACTGACCAATGAAGGGTTGTTTGCTACATTGGTCCCATTAAAGAGCCATGAGAATGAAGTGGCACCACTTGCGGTGCATTGGAGCGTGACTTGAGAGCCGGATGTGGCACTGTATGATGTCTGTTGAATTGTCATAGCGGGTTTAGATACTGAAACGAAGTAAACACGATTTTGTAACAATAAAGAAATCGTGCAATACGCATTGTCAAAGGTAGTGTGGGAGAAAGATTATTGTGGGCTTTTTTATCATGATATTAACACAACTTTTATTGGAATAAAATAATCTCACAAAAAAGAAATTGACTATTATCATGATAAATCATTGATATCATAATCGTGAAATCAATTTTTTAAACTTTATTATGAAAGTTGTCATTGAAATGAACGAAATATAAAAAATGTGTATGATGGATTATACACCAATGATATGAATGATAGTAAAATTATTTGCTTTTATGATTATGTAAAATCTATCACAAATTAATATTGATAAGCAATCTCTTGTTTATGAAATCAACATTAACCTTTTCTGTGATAATAACTCTTGACATTGATATGAAATCAATGATGAACATTTTAAGAAATATTTGTTAAAATGATTATAAAGCAATTGCATTTATATGATTATGAAATGAATGATGATTTTTTTTTTTTTTATAAAATTGACTTTAAAAGGAAATAGCGGACACATATTATATGTTAAACTTAATCTTGCTATTAGGAAATTCATAAAACAATAATCAAATTCTTGATATAAAGCAATCAATAAAATCATGATATTAAGCAATCACTAAAATCATGATATTAAGCAATCACTTAAATCATGAAATTATACAATCACTAAAATCATGATATCAAGCAATTACTAAAATCATGATAATAAGCAAAAATTGCATCATGATATAAAGTTATCAAGAAAACATTGTAATAAGTGATCATAAAATTATGATATAAAACAGCAATCAAAATGGTCATGAAAATCATGACAGGGAAACAAAATTGAAAAGAAATAATTAAAAGCCACATGCAATTGATTATGATTCTTGTGCAAATAAAATCAATATAAAACATGCTTAATTTTCTTCGTGTGATGTCATTAGAATAAAAGATTATTAGCGAATCACAACAACAATCATGTAAGTTTATGATTAGAAATACTAAATCAATCACACACAATATTAATATTAGTAAAACCAATACGAATTAAAAACAGAAAAAGAGATTGTCTAATAAATTATTAAATAAAACAAGAGAATTTTCAACTTGATGATGAAGACAAGACAAGGTGACAGACAAAGATAGAAAAAGTACCTGAGCTAACATCTGGTAAAATAAACAAATGAGCGGGGTCAAAGGTCAGAAGCATGAATGATTGATACGAATACATATTGTATTAACACAAATGAAGATTCACTAAATGAACATGTCTCCAGCTGAATTTCAAACAAGCCAGAAATCAAAGTTTAATCAATTTTGGTATTAACCTTTGCAGTTTGCCATTTATGCAATTTTGTGCTGAAGTAATATTTTCAAATTCGGGGTCAGCAATAGCGATTTTCATGTTGGAATTTTACACAAGATATTTTCAATTTTTTACACAAGAGATTTTCGTTTTTTTTTACTATTGAGATTTTTAAGTTTATTTTTACACAAGAGATTTTTAATTGTTATTTTAGACTAGAGATTCTTAAGTGTATTTTTACAAATGAGATTATTTCAAGCTCTTTTAAACTAAAAGGTCAGCAACTCTCAAGAACGAAAAGAAAGATTTTTTCTTGATTCAGATTTTTTTTTTTTTATACTGTGTACAAAGCGCCTGCATAGCTATGATTTTTGACATTCCCAATTTTAGCAACCATTTTAGTGAATTTCTTTGACATGGATATTACGTAATTTAAAACACAAATATTTGTTGATTTTTTCTACAAGGAAATTCATAGACATGTTTTTTATTTATGTTTGTAAGAAAAAGACATTGCAGAATATGAAATCAATCACTCAGATTTTTGGCTTGTTGCATTTCACTGATACAAACAATTAATAATATATACTGCCTTTATGCAATATGACATAATGAAATAAACATGGCAACGATTAGAAAATGATGTTTCCAAATAAATTTCAACACATTTCATTCTCGTTTGCATTTGACAGAGCAAAAACCTGGAACAGAAAATTCTCATTATTAACATTTTTTATTAGTTCTACGAAATTTCATATTACAAAATGATAAATTCATGAGATAATGGAAAGCACAAACATTATGCATGATGTATATATACTTAAATATAATACAATAAAACGTTAAAAGCAACAAAAGTTAAACACCTAAAAGTGCCTACCACTATCATACTCTCCACCCCTAACATTTTTGAAAATCTAAAATAACTGATTATTTAAACAGTGAACCTTGATAATACTGACATCTGCATTATTTTTATAAACATCCTCTGTATTATACCAGTGATGTATATACATAAACACATCCTGGAGTCATCTAAACTGTTTTTGTGAAAATTCTTCTTTTGTTAATTAGATGAATTCAAGTCATTTGTCAAATTTTTATTTCTGAACTTAAAAAAGTTTTATTACAAAAGCATCCAGATTAATAAAAAATAATTTATTCTCTTAAATTCATAAATAATTTCAATTATTCGAAAATATAAATTTTTATACATAAACTATATTTTTATTTATTTTCATCTATTTTTATTTATTTGTTTTCATTTAAAAATAATTCATTAATTACATTTAGAATTTGTTTTATTTCTTAAAAAAAATAAAAATCTTTACAGTGTTAAACTTCACGATTACAAAATTCAGTCTTAAGCTCTTTGTAACCTCATTAACAAATACAATATATTTGTATTCACAGCTATAACCATTCACCATATTGGTGAGTCTATACATCAGAATTTCAAGGACCAAAACGAACTATAAATTTTTTATTTTCATTTGTTCACACTGACTAACTAAAACTTAACTCATTTTTTCAGATTTTTTTTTATATCAAAGCAAAAATCCCCTGTCTTAAGAACCTGTCGATTTAAACATGCATTATCAACAAACCTGAAAATGCCAAACGTGTAAAGCACATGCATGATTTTTATAATAATTACACAGTACGCTGGGTCAGACTAAAATCTAGGCAATCTATACTATAATACTTGGAGTGCGGATACATACCACCACCTGTAGGGAAAATCATTTATAACAAAAATTATTTACAGTATCGTCAACAATTTTTAAAGACTCCTGGGGTATTTATGATAGAGTCTCAGAGGTTTGTAATCCTACAGATTTTTAAAACACCAATAAATTAATAAAAAAAAATGGAAATAATGTAAAATGTAGAATAAATATTAATGTAATGATCAAGAAATCAGAATCTGAAATAATCACATTCCTTAAAAAAACCTCCTCACCCCTGGTTCCAATATTTTAATTAAAACTATTGCAAAATGAGTGCTTTTTAAACCTTCATTTTAAACTCCCTAAAGTTCACAATAACTTCACAAATTTGTATATTGTTAATATTTTAAAATGTACTGTAAAATTGGACATTTTCGTGATGTGGAAAGTTCACTTTCTTTGTGTTATACGTGTCAATGAGTGCAAAAACTTCCACACACAAAAAATTAGTATGAAGGTTTGAGAATATGACTTCTGAACATAATGGCTATATATAAAGCAAGAATGTCCATTTCGCGATCATCTTAAAAGAGTCATGATGCAAATATTTCCACACACGAAAATTTTCACTTTTCTAGTATATGTATTTGATTGTTTTACAATTTAATATTAGAACAATTTACCAATCTATCAGTTTTATTTATATTTCATATTTTCTTTTCTTTGCTATATATCAGACAACTTTTCATCGACCTGTCTAAGAAGCATGTTTCTTACCGGTAATCTGTAGTGTAATTGTTCTTTGTATAGAAGATGAAAGCGTTTGCGAATGTTCGATTTCGCACATGAGCACTTTGTTGTTGTCTCCCGAGACCGGCGTAAATGTCAAAATACTCGTTACAAAGTAAGTAGCGTCGCTGTTCTGAGACACAGAGGTCGAAATACCCTGCGAAAAGGCTTGGGAGTCTAAGTTCCACGTGATTGTGGGAATGGGATACGAGCGATTTGTGTAGCACGCCCATGACTCACTGACACCAGCTTGCACTGCCGAGTCTCCCTGTAGCACGGGGCTCGACGGCTCAACTGCAACAGAAATACAACATACAAAACAAATGTAGGATTTGTGATGGAAAGGGTTGTTATATAGTCACAATAAACTGTAAAAACAATTCTTTTTCGTGGTCGTTTATTTTCGCAGATATTGCTAACATAGTCAATTTCACAACATTTATTTTTGTGCACAATTTGCCATGATAAGGATGGATAAATTTGCTTTTAATTTTGCAGCTTGGATTTTTTCACGAAAAAATTGCCCTTGTGAAAATCGGTAAACTCAGACGTAAAACCTGCCTTTACATTACATTGGCAATTAATGAAATTGTTGAAAAGTTTTGTTGTATAGTTAACCAGGTCACATAGTCACAATGCACTCAATAATAAGAGTATATGAAATATGCCCCTGACAATGTGACACACGATGAACAAAGGGACATAACTCTATAAACAGTTTTGCACAAGACCTTGTTCAAACACAACTCCACCATCCTAAGACGTACTCACATACAAAATTTGGTAATTGTAAATTATAACATATCGGAATGCGACAAGGGGTAACAAAGGGCCATAACTCAAAGGGCCATAACTCTGTAATCAGGTGAGCACTAGACTATAGACGCATTATACTTCGCCATACCAATTAAGATGTTCTTTAATACACATACAAAATTTGGCAATTGTAAATTATAACATATCGGAATGCAGCAAGGGGTAACAAAGGGCCATAACTCAAAGGGCCATAACTCTGTAATCAGGTGAGCACTAGACTATAGACGCATTATACTTCGCCATACCAATTAAGATGTTCTTTGATACACATACAAAATTTGGTAATTGTAGGATACCAAGAAATATATGAGAAATGCCAAAGAAAAGGTGACATTCTGACTGAAGGACTAATTGATAAATCACAAACCTTAGAAGTCCAGATCAGAACTAACTACCGTATTTATCCAGCAATAAACCCAGGTCTGGTAATAAGCCCACCCATATATACTGGAATTCAATAGAAATACCAACATAGTATCCTGTCATAAACATCCTTCTCTTTGAGACAGCAGTTATGTACTTAACCCCTAGGTTTATTTCAGGATAAAAATTGGGGACTAACAAAACATTTCTGAACGTATTAACAGTTTTTCAAAATTTCGGCTAAAAATAGTAACACAACATGAAATCGTCAGGTAATGTGACTTACCGTAAATATCGCTGAATGATTTGGTCACTGTCAGTGGCGAGCTTGTGGCCGAGTTCTCCACTTCACATTTAAACACAACATTTTTGTCACTGAATTGAATGTTTGCACTATAAATGTTTTTGTGGATCGAGACTCCGGAAGAGGAATCTGTAAATGATGTGTCGTCCACAAGGGTGTTATCCTTGTACCACTTGACTGTCGGGGTGGGGCTTCCACCTTCCGTTTCGCACGTGAAGGTCACCGTGCCCTCTTCAATCGTGTTGACAGTTGGACTAGAAATCGTTGGGTTACTGGGCGCAGCTAAAAGTTTATCGTTTACATTGACACATACACAAGATTTAAACATTATTTCTCATAGAAAAGATTTGATCAGAATATCTTGATAAATTCCATTCCCATTATTTCATCTCCCAATTTTGAATATTGCTGTTTATGATTTTTTTTTAATCTACATACATTTCTACTGGTAACTCGCTTCTTGTGAAATGTTCATGCGTTTGAAGTTTTTTCCAAATCTTGGACATTTTGCAGAGAATTTACTTTATAAGGTCTCAAATTAGGGGAAAAAAATATTATCAAACTTTGAAGTATGCATGCAGCCAAAACATTAAGACATTTTTATCATTTTTTATACCAAAAATATTCTGATTTAATCTTTTCTAATGAAGTGTAACGATATGGAAATTATGAATATGATTGACATGGCAATGGCTGAAATCCTGAAAACAACACATAGGACAACACAAAATTTGGATGGATCGACTGAGGGGTGAATGATGAATGAACAGATGAAAATACAAAACTGATGTTTTGACATTTTGTTAGAATACAAGAGATAGATCTACATTGAACAAACAAAGTTTACGAGTAGTCTACGAAATACAATAAAACACACAAAGGAAAATTAGAGACATCTTGTATAAATATTGTGAAGTTGAATGGAAACTCAGATATTAGACATGGACGACAGCTATACCTCTGGTACTTAACTCCAGATACTGAATCTGTCAATATTTTTCATTTCAAATGAAATTGAAATAAAATGTCTTTAAAATTCATATTAAAAGTACAGAGCTAGACCACAAACTAAATAAAAGTATAAAGAAAAAAAAAAATGACAATGCTAAAATTCAGGAAAAAATAGGTTTCTGTGATCAAAGAAGTGGTCCCTATATTGTTCATTATGAATATTTGATTTTCCACATCATAGGTTGTAGATCAGTATATTGTCCATGTATATACTGAAGTGTCCATTCACAGAGAAGTCCTATATGAAATGAAACGTGCATATGCTACATGTACAATGAAATATCTAAGGCCTGGACACAAAGGGAGACTATCAAATTACCTCCCTTACATTTACTTGGTAACAAAGGGAGATAATTTGTTAGTGTCTCTTTTATGTGATTCTGGTATACACACTACAAATCAGAGGAACAGATATTGCTTTACTTAAAGTGGATGAAAGATATTTTAAACTGTTAATTTCTTTATAGAATATTTTAAATTTTCATACGATACCAAAACCACAAAAATATTCAGGCCTAAAAGTCAGTTTCAATACATCACATACGAATGTATTTGATTATGAGAATTGTTTTATGCAAACATGAACAAAAATGAATGCTAGTCAGAAAAAAACATCCATAGATAATCTACATTATATTTCATTATGATTATAATACTGTTAGCATGTTTAGAACAGTCGACAGCTTTACAGCTGGACAAAACGTTACTATGGTAACCATTAAGAAACAGAAGTTAAGATAAGAACTTCCCAATACTTTACCTTGTGATAAAATCCCGGGCACAAGAACCATTAGAAATATGATGGGCGTCCTCAACCCACTCGTAACTGTTGTAGTCCGATCCATTTTACGAAAATTTGATTGGTCGATACACTACACGCAGTAAATTAATCCAAACGAAAAATACGAAGCTCCGCTATCAAGAATTCATAGCTTCGTTGATGGAGTTTTTGGAATAATCACTGTCCGAAACGATCTTCTCCCCAAGAAAACCTGAAAAATATGAAACAAAATATTCTAATTAATTTCATAAAATACATTTTGCTAATTTTAATTTTTCATTGAATTAGCTATGTATCTTCTTTCACATTTCGCAACCAATAAAAAGTTTCTGTCTCTCTATGTTAGAAACAAAATTCTTGATGACATCCTTGTGTTTCAGTCTTTTTTTAGAGTTTTTGATGACATTCTTGTGTTTCAGTCTTTTTTTAGAGTTTTTGATGACATCCTTGTGTTTCGGTCTTTTTTTAGAGTTTAATTGTATAGCTCTGTCAATATTGATTGACCTTTACAAATTTTGCTAGATCGATGAAATCCCCCCAGGTGTTATTGCTGTTGTACAGGAATTGATATTTGACCTTTACTGTGACCTTGACCATTTGGGCACACAGTCTAATTATCATATACAAATTCTATCACGGTGACTTTTACTGTGCACTTTCACTTGAAATGTTTTTGACTTGACACATTATATCTAGGTCAATGACATATACACACAGTGGCCTTGACCTTGGTTATTTGGTACATGGCACAGTCTAGCCATAAACATATTTGATCACTGTGACTTTTACTGTGCACTTTCACTTTAAACGGTTATGACTTGACACATCATATCTAGGTCAATGACACATACATAGTGGCCTTGACCTTGGTTTATTGGTACATGGCACACAGTTTAGTCATAAGACATATCGACCACCACCATAACATTTACCATGCACTTTCACCTGTAATGGACACTAAGCAACACATTATATCTAGGTCATTGACACACACACTGTGTCATTGACCTTAGTGGTATAGTTCAATGATGATAAGCACACACTATGACCTTGACCTTTGGGGTCAATATGGCAACATTAATCCCTCTTTGACAGAGAATAACCCCTTCTGACCCCTAATATTGAAGAAACCCTCTGTGTTTATTACAGTGGAATATACAATGAAGTTCACAAAATGTTGGAAAAATAATAACAAAAGCTGCTTCGGCCTTAGTTAATTAATTTTCAAACATTTGTTAACACCGAGTTGTATATTCCCATAACATACAAACATACATAGATTATATCTATTCCACCAAGTAAAATGTAATGAAAGTGTATTTTCATGTTAACCCCAGTGTCTTATAATGGACCTACATAAAAGGTGACCAGTTTTTTAAAATTCAGGCTGAAATGTACACCTCTAGAACATTGCCTCTGTAAATTATCTAATTTTTGGCAAAGACTATTTCAACGGGACATACTAAAATCTTGATCTGCCGTACAAGTGTTCCAAACAGAAACATCAAATTACACATTGTTCTATATATATACCGAAAGAGTATGATACGACAGTTACAGTTTGTTTACCCACTGAGATGTCTAAACATGTCGTCAGTAACTTTTATTTCTATAACGTATATATTAAGTTACCCCAGTCCAACTTGATACTATATATATTCAATGAAGCTTAGAATTTAAATTCATGTACTAGGTCATCACGTCCTTTTAATAGAAATACCTAGGTTATCACAGTAAAATATAATGGAAGAGATATTTGTGCATCACCTACCTTCTGTCAGAAGTTCAGAGATTTCCCCTGAAGGATTATATTATTTTCAAAATTATTTTAAATTTTCAAAAATTAATAATAAAAAAAAAAAATATGTAAGAAATCACTATAACTTAAGGTATATATATATATATATGATAAATAAAAGAATAAAATCATTTTTAGCATGAAGGTATTTCAAAGGTTTGTAGTAGGTATATTGAATGTACTTTTGGAAGTATGTTAAAGATATTGGTAGAATTTTATACATTTGTATCAGCATATCTTTTTTACAAATTCATAATTTTTTAATGAAAATTTCATGTTAATGGCAATTAAAAACAAATAAATTACCTATAACACATAGCATATAAACGTCAAAGACATGCTTCAACACTTTTAACCTTTACTTACAAATGAGATTTTAATACTTCAATGAGAAATATCAAAAGACTCCTAATTCCCCTATTGGAAACAATTCAACAACTAGAACATGTTAAGGAGTTCTACATGATATATCTGATCAACCTACAATAGCAGCAGACCTGTGTATGAGTGTTCAGTGGTGTCCTTCTGAAAATAATATTCAACTGATGTTGAAATCTGAAACATTTGAAATTGATACTGAAATATTAAAAGCTATCTTGAAATATTTGAAAAAATCTTGAAATAATATCATTATAAGTTGAAAATATGATTACCGAATACCAGGATTATTTGTGACACATTAATGGTATTGGAAGTATGAGTGAAATTCATACCTGAGCAGGACTACGTCTTACCTGATGCAAACGAGAAAAGTTAATCCGTCTACCTCTGTGAGGTAGTTATGTGTATAGGTATGTATTTATACCTACATAGTGAAAGCTTTATTCACTGTCGATCAGGCTCGACAATCCTCGGGGGCACCTTAGTTTAAAAACGGAGGGTGCGTTACCTGGCAATCGGAACGAAATCCGATCGGTCTGTATGTGGGAGTATATATAAGAGCCCCTTCTGTATGTGTGTAGACTTTGTGTATATATATGTCCTTTGTCAAGTCGATAGTCTCGGCTGCAGGGGAATCCGTATTGTACTTATAAATCCCTTAATATAATTACAAGTGCATAGTAAATATCCTCTACAATATCATTGTCAAAATCTTATTTTTCATATTTGTATGTTCAAGCCATTTTACATTGGATGACCTAGTCTTGCTGGCAAATGACAGGGTATACTTATTCTTATAGGAAGAATATGTATGTCTATATAGATTATGAAAGGCCTCAGCACTATATATATATGTATATATACTTATAAATAAAGGACATTCTGTCTCAATCTGACTCCATCCAATCTAGATGCTTGTCTTAAACCATCCATCTAGGAGGCACCGTAGTCTAGTTGTAGGACGCCGGGCTCGTGACCGAAGGGTTGCATGTTCGAGTCAGGGCACGGCACTGTGTTGTATCTTTGAGCAAGATACTTTACTCCGCTTGTTCCAGTCTACTCAGCTGTAAATGAGTATGTGGTTGGGCAGTGCTAGAATTGTAGAATGCTAGCCGTGAGTGCTGAAATGACAGCACCGGTTGATGCTACCCAGAGAGTTGAGAAAGATATTGGCTGGTTGCAAAGGCCCTTATTAATAGCCACGAATAATAATTTGTGAACCGCTTTGAGACAACCTACGAACTAGGTTGTGATAAAGCGGTATATAAGTACCTCAAATTATTATTATTATATATAATTTTGGACTCTCTTGCAAACCAGTCAAATTTTATAGTCAGATGGGTGTTTAGTGATAAACTAAATTTACAGTGCCCTTCAATCATCAAGCTAATTATCCCCCCCCCCCCAATTCCTCGTTAAAAATACACTACAGCTTTCAAAAATTTGAAAATATAGTAATTTTATTGTCAACATTGATTAAGCAATATTAATGAGAATTAGATTTACCATAGTTTGCTTCAGTGAATAATTATTTCGGCCGGTCATAACATTGACCTGATGTTTTAGCTCTGTTTTTATGACTAAAAGGTGACAGCTATGTCAGCTTGTGTTATAAAAGTTTACTTATGATAAACCCATTAATAGTTCCGCATATATCTTCAAACCATGTGGACATTACACGTTTTTAATGAAAAGATGCCATCTATTTATTTACATATACTGACGGTATATGTAATACAATTTTCAGAACATAATATAATTCTTCAAGGACGTCTCGTGATCTGAAATCATTTGAAGTAAAAATCTATTATAAAACGATGTTTACAACCTCATAAATACATTTCCAATCATTTCACATGAATAATTCTGTGAATATGAATGAGAATTAAAATACGTCAATATCCCTTTTGATCGTTGACATTAAATATGGCTTAAAGACTGGAAGAATATTGGTGTGAGCATTGTACGTATATATTTATTGATGTATTTACAATCTATAATGGGAGCGTGTAGTAATTTTTAATATAATTAAATCTCTCGAATTGTAATACGGATATTGAAAAGAAAAGTTGCAAGAGAATTGAAGAGTGCACCACCCAAAAAGTGCACAATGCCTTCAACCCTTAAGGCAAGTTAATTTTGGCCTATGAACTGCAAATACGATGCTATTTTGAAAATAGGTCCGATGATGTATCTATATATAATTATAGCCGTTACCTGTTCTACCTGTCACAGGATGTCATTAAAGGGACTTACCTGTAATCAATATGTACACTATAATAGGTATTATTGTAACCCTGATGGTGCTATGTTAGTGAATTAATGATCCCTATCAAGAGCCCAGGTGGAGTCACCTTCACAGGTAAATAAATAAGGAAATCAATTATTCTTTGTCAAAATTTTCTTTTCTGATAGAAAAATTTGTTAAAAATAATCAGCAAGTGAAGATATTAATTTAGAGCACAATTTTTTCTAATTGGGTATTTTCACCTGAACTTTGTACCGTATTTATTCTATTTAAGTATCCCTGTCCCACTGCACTGTGGTTTTTCGTATAAACACAGTAACCTCCCTTTAACTTACGCTTGGATATAACTTTAGCACAATAGGGCCAGGAGACTTCGTTTTTCAGGTAATTCAGTCACATAGAACCCAAAGTACTGTATAACAAGCTGAAGTCCAGGTTTTGAGTCAAAGATTAGCACCGCTTCATTTTTTTATGCTCAGAACACTGTTGTTGATTATATTTTCTTTATTTCATCATTATAATTTAACGTCTCGGAAAATGCATGGATTCGGTCAAGACCGTGTTCCTGGACAGGTGGACATGTTTCCACACTTTGACCGATGCGAGTTCTTCGCCTTATCTCATCCTAGTGTTGAGACAGGAGGATTCCCCAGTGAAAACTATTACATGATGTCACATCAGCAATGCCATGACGTAACGTCAACAATGCAATAATGCCAACAATGCATAATTATAGCATCAACAATACCATGACGTACCATCAGCAATACCATGACGTACCGTC